GTTGTTCTCCCCCTCTTTTGCGGCCAGATGGAGGTTTTGAGCCCCTCTGCTGGGAGCCACCGTGTTCTCTTGTTGTCTGTCATAGACGGCTCTTGCTGGGACTGTTTTGTCAGAGCAAAGGAACTGGTCTAGTGGAGGGTGTCCCCGCCCGCAGCAGGGAGGCTGGAACTAGATGATCTTTAAGGTCCCTTCCAACCCAAACCATTCTATGATTCTATAACTCTGGTGTTTTTGTTAGTCCACGTTCATATCCTTGTAAATGTTTTGTTGTTTACCATCTCCTATCAAGGCTGGGCACCTTCCACATTCTCTGATTCTTAATGCGATAGTTGCAGTTAGGTAGAGAGATCTCCCAGAGTGATAAAAATGCCTTAAATAACAAAAAAAAACAAAAAACCAAACAGTGTGCTGCAAGGAACATTGCCTCAGGAAATTAAAAACTATGTGGTATGGTGTGTGAGATGTATACCTGCTTGCTTTCAGCCAGCACAAAAAGCTGTTCTTCTACCTGCTCTGTTGTTGTCAATCCCAGCTCCTGTTTTGTCAAAAATACTGCACCCCGCCTTGCCTCTTACAGAGATAGACCAGCATCTGCCCAAAGAATGGGGCTGCAGCTGTGAGCACCATGGAGTCAGCAGCAAGTGAAAATGTTCTTTCTGCGAGGGCAGCACATTCAGATAATTTGAAAGCATGGTGGAAATTTTCCTTCTGCTGTGGATATGCTTACATCTGAGAAGCAGGGAAACTTGTCAACTCAATCTGAGGAAAAATTAACCACTTTTGATTCCTTGGTTTGGGGTTTTTACCTCAGCCTGATCATATCTCCAGTTGAATTTACTGAATGTTCCCATAGCATAGCAAGGGTAGGAACAAGCGAGTGAGGAAGAGGACAGACAGATGAGTTGCTGCTTAACTCTTACTAGTGGAGAAATTCATGTAGAACCAGCACTGTGGAAGTGGGGGCACCTGAAGGTTCAGCTGGTGTAATGCTGTGCACTGAACTGCACAAGTCTCTGTGGCTCGAGTCTGAAGTGACGCGCTCTATCACACAGAACGTGTTAGAGCAAATGATGCTGGTTTTTGCAACCATGGTGACACATTTACCATTTGAATGTATTGCGCTCAAACGTTATTGTGATAGTAATAGGATAAAAAGTTTTCTGGACATGTTTCATAACCAATTACTTAGTAGCAAATGTCACAGTTAATGTCTCTCTTTCCCAGGGAGATGACAGCCTGTCTGTGATTACCTGTGAATCAGATACAGAAATGGTGAGTTTTATTAATGGCGTGCTGCAGATGAATGCCTTAAAAGGCCTCTCAGCATGTTCTTGCACACAGCACGTCCACGTGATGCCTCCTGGTCAATAAGACGCCCTTCAGAGAGGAGAGCTAGCAATGTTATTGCAATGCAGTTTGATTCAAAAACCTCCTTTAATTCCAGATGTAATTCTGGCTTCTAAATTCTCAGCACTGGGGGCTGCAAATGATGTTTGGCTTCATTTCGGTGTTCTATCAAGTTACGGACCTAAGTAATCCTTTCACAGAATTTTAATGGAATTGAATAAGTCTTTCCTTTAGCTAAATGGTTCTACAGATCAGCCTCTACTCTGTGATTATCTTGAATTTGCTGATACTCATATTTAATACTGATGGGCAAGGTATTAGTGTTCCGAGCATGAACAGACTACTTTCCATCTGCAGCATAAAACTTCAGTAGGCACTACCTTAATTCTGGTGACCGTTGCTGTGGCCAGATCTGCATATACTTAATGCTACTATTTTTCTTTTCTACACAGAAGATTTTATGTTGTTAGAACAAGTGGTCTTCATACAATTGGAGACTGAAGCCAATTTTGAGATTATATGCTGAAATCTTTGAAGAGTGGAATATTTTAAACGCATTAAAAAACTCTTTTTCTCTTCCAGAAGTTAAAGAAGAAAATATTTCACAAGCCTCCAAAGTCACCAAGTAAGTGTTACCAAATTTTTTCTTCTACTTCTGTTATTGTAGAACAAGATATGATATGTGGGACACAGGAACTGGAAGATTTACCTGAAACAACATCTTAATATTCTCCTTAGAATTATTCACTGGTGTGTGCAGAGCACACCTGTCTGAAATTTGTTCTGTAACCAGTGAAGTTAGACTTTTCTAGGCTAAATACTGAAGTTTATGAGTTATTTGTAATTCTTGATTGTCCAGCATAAACTACTTTCTTCTCACATCATCGCTTCTAATGGCAAGCATTCTGAATTTCTTTTTCTCTTTGTCTTCTTGAAGAAATGCTGATACTTGCTATGTAGAAAGAATCTAGAATTACTGGACCTACCTACCATCCAGTAGAAATCTATGTTTGTAGATTAAGCAGTTCATTTGTTGGTTTGTGGGTTTTTTTCACCTTAGAAGTACAATGTTATTATTAGATCTGCAGATTTAACGTGGGGTTTTGTCTGTTTTTCTGGGGTTTATGTTTTTTATTACATTTTTCCATTTACCTTCCTTTTTATACTTCCAGTGAATGTTTCAAAGATGACTTTCCTTCAGTGTTGCTGACTGATGTTACTTTGTTTTGTTTCTAATAAATTAAATAATGTTGTACTTTTACATTTTGCTTTAGGTTGAGGAAGAGGCATGCTCTTCTGATAAATGTACATCTATCTACTTTCTAATCCTGAAATCCTTTTGCTTGCCTAAATGATGGAATTTAAAATTTCATTAATTTCAACTATGATGTTTGTGACATTGCTTCTTACTGTACTTACTTCTCTTGGTAATTTGAAGACTAGTTAGCCCATATAGTGCACATCTATACTAACGTCAATTTAATGTATGAATTTAGATCTGCAGGTATCTTAAGGGTGCCTATCCAAACTGTACATAGACATATTTCTACATGCATTGAGTCATATTACTGTCACTATTCCTCTTTCTAAGCCTTTTCGGTTTTTTGAATTGGATTTTTTCTTTATTGTGATTTTTTTTTTAAATTTAGGTGAATGTCCCGTTGCTCTGCATAAGCCAGTATGTAGTATACTGTTAAATTCTATTTTTATAAGTAATATGGCTGTGTCTGGGAACCTTGAAGAAGACAGCAAGAATTTTTGTGACGTTGAGTTTTTTAAGGCATCGCTGAGATATTTTCTTTTGGTTTAGAGTCTCCATACAGCTCTAGCACACAACTGTATCCTAAAAAAGCTGCAGTTTGGCGATCGCTGCAGGGAACAGGCAGTGCACGTCTTGAGAGTGCGGCTGTAAAAAATCCAAGACACATGTGGCTGGGATCACTGAAACAAGGTATTAGTATAGAAACTTTATGTGCTTATGTGGATAAAATTCAGTGTTGTGGACAGCTTAACATATAAATTCTTTAAAAAATAGATTTGTATTTTATTATAGGCTACATAGGAAGTCATTTCACTGTTATTTATTTGGGTGGTTAGAATTATCTGATCTCAAACATTGGAATTTATAGAGGGAATAATTAACAGCATTCTCTGTTGTATTTGCTCAGAATAAATCCACAAATTTAATTCACAGTTATCCCTGATTTTTTTATTTTTCTTGGCAGGAATGAGTCATTCTCTGAAATCAGATGCTGACATGGGGCATATACGAACTAACATTTCTAGTAGCACTCCAGAATATTTGAAGGAAGCTCTAGGAATGAAGAAGCCAAAACATTCTCGTTCTTCTAGTAATGGTAAATGATGTAATGGTGTGGTAGATAAAAGTTAATGATCTTTTTTCTGTGTAAAAACACATTTTGCTTAAGAGCTTAGCTTTAGTAAAGCAAGAGCCATTTCAGTTTAGCCTGTATTAAAATATATGTGTCAAAATATGATCCATGAGATACTTTTTGAGATTTCTAAATTGGATAAGACAGGGGTTTCCAAATTTTTTTGAGCAATGAGTCACTATTAGTTTTCAGAACTTTTTGCAAAAATTGCCATGCATTTGCAGCTGAAAACGTTGCAAATATAATATGGTTCAATGGGCCAGCTGTAGACAATTTATTGTGACTTTGCAAAACATAGTTTAGGAACCATTGATAGAAACCATCTGCTTGCCTGAAATTCTATGTAATTGATGCCTTTTACTTCTTCTCTAGAAAGTGTTTTATCATGTGGTTGTGATATTAAAATCAATTGAGTTTTATGAGAAGAGCAAAATTTAAAACTTTCATCCTGCTTTTCTTAAAGGAGAACTGTAAACTTGAAAATCCTACTTCCATTTGAAATTACACCCATACTGTCACTGGTGATACACAGTTTCTGGCAACTTTAAAAGATGATGGACTTTTTATATATTAGGCATAAACAGAAAAATTTATTCTGGACATCTTTTAGGAATCCTTTGTAAGTAATTGATTTGTTGGGATGAGAAGACTGCAGTCTTCTGTGAAATGTATATCTTTCTTGAGATGGATGTTTTGATATTAATCTCTAGCACCAGAGAGGAGAAATTTGCTGTAAAATCTGGCAGAAGTTTCACACAATAACATCTCCATTTCACCTCCATTTCTAAAATTAATTTCCTTGCTGTTTTTTTTCTTAAAAGCCTAGTTTACAGTTTGGTGCTGTTGTAGATATTTTCCTTTAACTGTAATGTTTCTGGTTAGTTAAAAATACCTCTTTCAGATCTCTTTATTTTATGTACCTTTTTCTGTAGGTTACATTCCTGGAACTCCTGACTACAAAGAAAAAGAAGATATGTATGATGAAATTATAGAGCTGAAAAAGGTACAGCCTCTCTTATATAGAAATCATAAGGTTGCTCCATCCACCCATAGCTATCCAGGCCTTGCTGGTTCAGTATACTTTAGTTTCTGCAACTGGGACATCCACCAAATTTTTTTGCATTTGTAATGTAAGGCTAAACTAAACTTGTGTCTGTTCAAGGCAATTTCATTGTTCTTATGGTGTGATAGATACTTCTGAGTACTGGATGTGGAAGCCTTGAAGTATACCCAGTCCTGAACCCCAGCCATGGCCCTAGCTGGACACTGAAAAGGTTCATTGCATTTGGTTTCTTTGTCCCTCCGCCTCTCCCCCCCCCTTTTTTTTTTTTTTCTCCTTCTGGCTGTTACCCATCACATTTTAATAATTTGTCAGTTGAGTTTAGTGCAGTGTATGAAAGATGAGGACTGGGCATGTTGAACATGAGGGATATCTATAACAAATGTCTTGGCAGTTGTGGATCATTTGTGTAAGGTTGCCTTTCTGTTAAACCTTTTCTTTTTATCTTTGCCACCTCCTTTATCTGTCAGCACTGGTCCAGTGTGATGGTCTCTCTTTTTTTTTCTTTTGCTTCATCCTGACCATTGTAATTGGATTGTTATTGACATCAAAACTGTTTCCATGTGAAAACTCAGTGTGTTTCTATTTCTGAAATGTGCTTACGATTTTTCTCCTCTCTTAGACAATACAAGCTCAGAAAAACGAGGGAGACAGAATGAAAACTAAGCTCCGTCGACTAGAAGAAGAGAACAATAGAAAGAATAAACAGATTGAACAACTGTTGGATCCTTCCAGGGTGACTATTTCTTGGGGGGATGAAAGTAGGGCAAAAGAGTGCTGAGCTGTGTGATCCTCTTCTCCTTGTCTCTCTAGATTTCAGGACTCTGTAGTGCGTTGGCTCCTAGGAGTGATGAGCTTGAATATGGGAGGTGGTTGGCTGGTGTGAAAGGTTTTCTGGTTTATGTATGCCAGTTCACCATTCTAGCTCAGGTGAAAGGAAGATCACGCCATGCTGTGCAGATAAGTTTAATTAGCAAAGATACTTTTAATTTCTGAAGGTAAAATTAAAATGCACTCTCTTTAGAGGACCACTTCCTGAAAATTTTGCCTGCGTAGAAGGGAGTTAATCTCTTGCATGGTGACTGATGCAAGGGGTCCTGAGACCTGCACCAGGAAGCAAAAGATGAGCCTTATTGTCAAACCCGTGAGGCTGAGAAGCATTTAGGGTCTTAGTAAGAAGACCTGGATTTCACTGAATTCCTTGTGGCTGTCACTTTCTGTGTGCAGATCTTCATCTTGGGAGATCTGTGCTAACATAAAACAGTGTGCATAGGGACTTCAAAACTTAGACTGTTGGGCTGTGAAATGACTGGAGGTGAGTAGGTTAGAAAATTTTGTGGAAAAGAGCCAGCAGTAAAATACAGTAGCAAGATTGGTCACTTGCTTTATCTGTCGTATCTTGCAGGGCTCTGAGCTGGCACGAGCTTTGTCAGAAAAGAAGACTGATAATGGATGGGTAATAGTTTCTTCATTACTTTTTCGTTTGGGGTTTGTTTTTTTTTTTCCATCTTGCCAAGCTGAAACACTACTGACTAAAAAAATAAAATGAAGTAAGAAAGAATAAGCAATTAGGGAATCATGTAACCATTATTTCTGTAGTCAGATAAGAAACAAGTAACAAAGATCTGGAATTACCATTATTCTAGGGAGCCTTCTTTGTCACTGTCTTGAATCTGTTTAGGGAGTATTCTCCCTATTATTTGCTGCCTTGAATTTAGCAGAGTAATGGGCAGAGTTGTTTTTATTTAATGATTGTGTATAAATATTATTAAGCTGGTTATGTTACCACAGATATAAGTTAGGGATCTGATTTCATCAATGTTCTCTTTGTCACAGGGTAGCAGACATGAGTATGACTTACTAAGTACTGATGTATGTAGGAAAAAGTACATCTGGTTAGGTACAGCTTATAGTGGTAGGGCAAGATTATGAAGAAATAGAACTTCTGTGAAGAGATAGATTATTCTAGGACTCATGAGCTCTTTGTTCTTTCTGTAGGTGGTTAGTGGATTAAAGCAGAAGATTTTCAAGCTAGAACAACAGTGCAAGGAGAAAGACAACGCTATTAAGTATGACTTTTGGGGGGGTAGAGGCTTGTATTGGATGAGATAATAAAGGGAAATTGATATCCATGTTATTTTTCATCTGTATTCTTCTGTTTCTTAAGACGTTTTAATGAACTCTGAGAACATATTAGCAATTATGAACTACCCACGCAGAAATTGTAAACCAACAGGTATTGCAATGTCTTTGCTGGTCTGACTGGATTATTTTTTGTATTATTCTATTTTCAGCAAATTCCAGGCAGACATGAAGACCACTAATTTGGAAGAAATGAGAATAGCTATGGAAACTTACTATGAAGAGGTACGTCTGACAGGTCCTTCAGCATGCATACAGGAGAGGAAGTTCAGTTGTAGAGTCCAAGTATAAATGGAATGTTTTAGATACAGCTTAGCTGCACCTGTCATTGGAATCAAATTTTCATAGCTTCAAGTATACGTACTGAAAAATCTTTTTTCTTCAATAAGTTGAGTGTGTTAAGCAAAAAGGGGAAATAAAGAAACTCATGTATATCCATCAGTGTAGTGTCTAGATGAAAGCCTGTAAAACAGTAGCCTGATTTTCAGTGATGGCATCATTGTCTCTGCCCAAAGAGTCTTTTTTCTGATTTTCACGTAATGGACAAATGTGTTGCATTATCAATGTCGTCTTCCACACCTAGGTCCTTAATGGAATCTATATTTCATATTTCACAGGTTCATCGTCTCCAACTCCTCCTGGCAAAATCTGAGACTATGAGGAAAAAGTTGATTATTTTGAAGCAAATGTTTGTATATACATGTTTGATGTATCACTTGTGTTACTTTTAACTGATGGAGAACAGCTACATGGGAATAGTTTATTTTGCCATTTAGATTGCTGGATTTGCTTTTTGGTACTGCTTTGGTTGGCTTCACAGCCTTGGCATATGTCTTAGTCACGTTTCTTTTTCTTGTAGATAGATCATTTTGTGGATGTGGAAAAAATACTAGAGCTATTTAAGAAGTACATGAAAGCTCTGAAAATTTATCTCTGTTAAATAAAATCCATGTTCCCCCATAATAACATGTATTCTGACATCACTGGTGATTGAAACAAACTCACTAGATGTTTGGCGTTTTACTTTTGAGTCAGGTCTGCATCTTGCTCTAGGGCATATGCTGCAAAGAAGGTGTTTTGGAGTAAACATAATTTTCCTGTGGTGCAGACACACAGATCTGCAAGTCAGGGCAGCTTTTGTGAGATATCCATGAGTGGTACTAGTAAGACACTGTCAGAGAAGCTTGTGCTTGTCACTAGTGTGCGGGTGAGTACATGGTGATGGGCGTAAACGGTCTATAAAGGAAATAAAAATCAAAGGCAAAAGACAAAGCTCTATTAAGAGAGCAAAGTAAAAGCATCTTTGCAAGTGAGTGTTAGTCAAGCTGAGAAGAGGGTAATAGTCTTGTGGGATAGCAAAATTTGTTCCCACACCACTTCAAAATATGCTTGCCCTCCTAGTGTTAAGTACAGGCAACTATCTTAATTTTGGATGTAATTATTTAGATTGATAGAAACATATGAGAACTCTTTATGGGTCATTATGTATACTACTTGTATTTCCCTAATTCACTGTCTCTTGTGGATTGAAAACTGCAATTTGTTTTGTCACTCTAAAACAAAATCTCATCTCTTTTGGCTCAGGCATGCAGTGACTACCCTCTCGAGGCTGTAAGCCATCACACCCAATTTATTCACAGGTGAAAATGAGTCACCAGGTCTCTTCCTTGTCCTTATTTATTCATATCTTCAAAAAACCAGTGGTCAGGGCAGTCGCTCTCCATTATGTGACTGTCAGTCTCTACTTGAGAGGCTGAGCACTGAATAAATGATGTTCAAGGTCAGGACTCTGGCACATGTGAAGAGTTGTAGGAGAGTGTTTCTTTCACGATGCTTGTCTACATTATTTCTGGCCAAAGTGAATGGCGTTTAGCTCCTCTTTTCCCGTGTCAACACTAAAATGTGGTTATCTGTATGTGAAGCTGTAGTATCCAATTGTAGCTAGAAACTAGGCAACCTTTCAAGTCCTCAAAATGGTCTGCGCTTCTTTCATTTGGGTTTTGATGCGCCTAAAATAATGGCACTCAGTGATATGGCTATGATTTGTATCATTTCTGTCACTTCCCATTTTTGGTGGTGTGTTTTCTGGTTTTTACTTCCGCCGCCCCCCCCCCCCCCCCCCCCCCCGACACATGTCCAAACATACACACACGCCA